AATGCGGATTGCACTTTGTAAGTTCGACTGCCTTATACTTTGAGATGCGGTTAATTCTTTGCAGCAAATAGGGTCTTGGTGCACTTAGATGGATATGGGGGTATAGATAAATCATGGTTCAACGCCAGTCATCCTGTGCACAGGATAAAGCATAAGCAGGGATAAAGCATCGGCCACTAGGTTGTTTTCTAAGTGGGTAGCTGGCGTAGCAGCTGAAGGCACAGAGTTCCTTTTTCGATCGCTGGGTTTCATGGTCTTACATTCCTGCGGCACACCCTACATAAAGGAAATCGACCTTTGGTCAGTGAACAGCTCCGGTTGTTTCCAGGAGAGATAATGTTTTCATTCACGGATAGACTCTGATGGCATATGTTTCTTTCCTAATAGACGAGTTTTTTCGCTCGATATCGGTGTTCTAGAAAAGGTCACAGGCCAGCCATTCCGAGTCAGAGATGCAGCAATGGCAATGCATCAGGCGTCCGCCTCGACCATGGCGTTCCCTAACTCTCCTCAAATTTTCGATGGACTGTTGTACACCATCCGGCAGGGGAAGGGCCTTATTTTTGAAAAGCACACCGACTCTGTCACCATCATCGACAGATGTGTTCTACGCAAATGCCTCGCTGACGTAGGAGTATGATTTATTTGGAAGCCTTTTTTGAAGAAAAACCTGAAAGCGGACGGGGAGGGGACTTAGTTTCAGCCTACCACAATCATTCCGAGGTGCCTACACCTCCAGACACTCATCCAGGCAATTTGAATAGAAACTGGCAAGAACGCGATTGATGTCGATTAGCAGCCATATCTTGCAGCGTCTCCAACCAGGCCCAGTGGGAACCACGCCGTCCCCATCCTGGAAGACGAGTAGCACCGACAGCACCCAAACGTTTCCTAATCTCTTTCACACTCCTCTGCCAGGTCAAGGGTCGGCCTTTGTCCGCTTCCGCAACTCTGAACTGGGCATAGAAAACAGCAATTTCGGGCAAACGATGGTTCGGCATGCGCAGTACATGGTCTAACAAACACAGCTTCTGGTGCTGGACACATCCTCCAACAGAAGTCTGTTCCACAACCGAAAACTCATTTTCTCAACCACCTCGTTGCGTATTCGTCGACACCAGTCCAGACGAGTTTTGATTCTGAGACAACGATTGTGGGGCACCTGAAGACGTCTCAGTTCCGCTGCTCGAACAGTGCAACTCTCATAGTCATGCAGCAAAACAGCCGGCATTGTAGCTTGATACACACGTCCCTTGAAACTCAGGGAAAGGCGACTCAGTTCCTGCAGATTTTTGCATTGACCTCATCTGTCACGCCACAATTCGAACTAACACAAATTCCAAGGTGCGTGAAACGTTCTACAACTTCGAGTACCCCCTTCCTGGATTGTAAGTAGCATGTTCAGGAGCATGACCTTACACTTTGTGGGTGCAAACTGCATACCAAAGAATGGTCAGTTCATCCAGAAACACTTGCGCCCTCTCTTCTTGGAAGACAAGATTGATGTCGTCTGCACATTTCAAGTCAACAAGGTTATATTCGGCGGCTGTTTGCACACCAGGGTTTTAAAGACCTCCCACCGTCTGTCTCATTAGTTCACCTATCTTGAAATTAAATAGGAATGGGGGGGCGTGGGCACCCTCACGGACACCGCTTTGTGTACACAGGCTTACCGAGATGTCTCCGTATATTCGCCCTGGTGCGGAAGTTGGCTGTCGATAGCAGTGTCGCTATTTCAGAGTCTATCGTAGGGTGAAGATATGGTTGATGCACCCTCTTGCTGGACGGAACCCAGCTTGATTTTCAGGGATCTGCCTTTCCCCGTGTTCGGTCAACCTTCGGAAGATAAGGCCAGAGAGCAGCCACAGCTAACAGGCTGATGCCACGGTGATTTTCACACAGCGCCCGCGTACCCCTTTTGAAGATGGGGATAACCGTCGACATGCCCCAGGCGCCTGCTCTTCCTCCCATATTTTACCAGTAAGCTTTTTCAGATGAGTCACCAGGGATTTTCCGCCTTCTTTAAAGAGGACTGGATACAGACCGTCCGGTCCGGATGCATTTTCACGTTTTAGTAGGGCCATTTCCTACCTTATTTCTTCTTCCGATGGGCGACAAAGGTTTACACTCCATTCGCCTGTGTGCATTATCTCCATAGGATGTGTTGCAGAAGGCCAGCTGAACTGTTCTTCGAAGTATTCAGCCCATCTTTCCAGTCGACGTTTTTGTGAGTGAATCAATGAGTCATCTTTTTCACTTACGTTTCGCTGACCGTTGCTTTCCTGAGGCCAGTCGATCGTATCTGTTGATATAGGGCATGGCTGTTTCCCGTAGCAAAGCCCTTCTCCGTCTCGCGAGCTTTCGATTTCCACCAGAGCTCTCGGTCTTTCCTTAGACTGTCCACTATTTGGCGTTTGCGGGATTTGCATGCACCGTCGGACTCGTTACCTGCTGGTAGAGCTTTCCTGGCATCAACCATGGATAGCGATCTCGATGACATCGAGTGGTCTTGTGGTCGAATTGGAGAAGTCAGACAGGCAGCACTCAACGCCGCTAACATAGCTCCTTTTATATTTTGCCATGTTTCATCCACATGCTCACTGCCACCACAGTATTGGTTTACTGTAGAAAGTTGTTTGGCTAGTTCAGACCGGTACTATTGAGCTACCGTCCTTCGAAGATAGTGGATTGGCATCCTTCTTGCTAATTTACGAGGGCCTGAAGAGAAGCGAACTGTCAGGCGTGTACGTACCATGGCGTGATCGGAATCAAGTGGTGTTTTCCCGAAGGAACGGCAGTCTTGAATTGTGGCTGTCCACCGGTGGCTGATGGTCACGTGGTCCAACTGAGTCCACGGTTGATTTGCAGTCGGTGGCCGCCAGGTTACGCGATGCGAACTTTTATGCTGAAATTCCGTACTTGCCAGAAACTGCTGATGATCAGCACACAACTGAAGGATCTCCGTTGTCTGTGCGACGAGCACCCACTCCGAATCGACCGCCCAAATGTGATTCCAAGGAGCTCAGACGACCTACTTGAGCATTCAGATCGCCTGCAAGGATCACAATGTCAGTGCATTTTGCTTGATGAATAAGCCCGGCTAACTCTTGATAGAAAGTATCCTTCGCCTCAGAACTGCAGTCTGTTGGGGCATAAGCCGACATTACAAACAGGCACCGCTTTTTATGTCGAGAGGCAGTGAGTTTGATTGAACTAGATAACCGGACGGTGCAAAGACGACTGTCCACTGGGACCCTGTCCAGGAAAGCGCGTTCAGCTCTGGGGCTGAGTGCAACTCCCACGCTATATATTCCACGAGTCATCGCTTCAGGGTCACCGGACACACGGAGGGAGAAATGTGAAGGAGCTGACTTCATTCTTGGCGTTCTGAGATGCATAACCACGCTCGGGTCTTGTATGCTTGTTTCGGAGACAGCATACATCAACTTTAAGGGAGTATAAGGTTTCAGAAAGCATTGCCTGTTTGGCGATTTGACATATAGTACGGATGTTAAAAGTTACTATATAGAAAGGATCCGGTGGACTTAGAAGAGTGTTATTTTGTTTATTGTTAGTAGGCCGCATGGGGCATAAGACCCTTCGGTCGGATAACTGACAGGCAAACGCCCCAGCGGCGTTTGTTTGTGTGGTGGGAAGGGGTTGGGAAGGGACATCGGTGGACACCGAACTGCGCGGGCAAATGATACTTTCCGGTTGCCCAGACCGAGGAAGGGGGTTTGGTTGAGGTACTCCACCTTGAGCCCTTGACTCAGAAGTCTGGCCTACAAAGCAGTGGGAGGACGCAGGGTTTTGTTCGGGGACCTTGCCCCTAGCCCCTGACTGAAAAGTCTAACCCACGAGGCAGTGGCCAGTAGGGTTTCCTTTGAGGATCCTTCCCGGTGCCGGTGACCTGCTGGGCTGCAGGGGGTTGGGTGCAGGGAATAAGGCATTACTGTCTCATTCCTGATGCGGCTGAGCACAGCAGGTTGCTTTTGAGCGGTACCGGGCTCGTTGGTTTCAAAAGTATTTCGCCCGTATTGGATAATGCGCCGGCGATCTTGGTCAACCGTTGGGCGATCGTAGTGTGCGGTTTTTGGGTCCGACCTTTTCTAACCTGTCTTTCCTCGGGGGAGGGCAGCATCGCTGCTTCCATAAATATGGGCATGCTGCTCGCCTAGGGGAAATACCATACTGCCTTCACACTCCTGTCGCAGAGGACACAGCGACTTTACCCCCCAGACCGCCTAGTAGCACGAATACTCGTAGTACGGGGTTTCGCTGCTCTTCGTCTGGCTGCTCCTCTTTGGCCTTCCTGGCATGGTTGCACCTTGTGGAACGAAGCTCCAGCCAATGTAGCCCGCGGGATCATTGCAGTACTCAAGCCCGACCAACACGTCAAGGTGGCAGCTTTAGGTTGGGTTCACACTCCTCAGCCAGACGACCGAGGTTTAGCTGTGCAGTTTTGGAACTACGTGCTTGCGCTTTGTAGGCGCTCACGATCAGGCGACGCTCATGGTGCAACCACAGACCAAACTGCTCCCTGAAGACCAAGGTAGCAAGCAAGAGCGCCCACACCTCAGTAGTTCGAACAAGAGCCAGTGTAATAGTCTTAAATTTGGTGTTATTCACTAGCATACCTTGTGGGATGATGGAACGCATTCTGAGACAGGCCACTTTAAATTGTGTTTCACTACCAAGTTGGTGTCCCCGGCTCAGATGAGTGAGATGGTTCCACTTCAAACAACGGACGTGATTGTGTGAAATGAGCTTCTTTTCAACAGATGTTGGGTGTGACTGTGCTCTTGTTACTCCTGTCAAAATTATGGAGGTGCGCAAACACCCGCACACAAAAGGAGTGGCTATAGTGAAAGCCATGTATGGTGACCTGTTTACTTCAGAATTTCTTGCACCTCTGACTTATGAAGCAATCGGTCTCAAAAGTCCTTACAAACTAACTTTCCTGTCTTTCCCGTTATCCCAGTCACCCAACGGTCAGAGATGAGTGTGGAATCTCTTGATCTTCAGTCTCAAACCCGAAGGCCGAAAGATTCGCCGTTCTTTCAACAAAAGTTACCCGCATGGCAGCCTATGTTTACTGCCAGAAAGTCGGCCATAACATTTTTGGTTCTCGGAGTTTTCTTCATCCCACTGGGTGCCATTCTTTTGGCAACGTCCGATTCCGTCATTGAGTACAGTGTTGACTACACTAACTGCATGGATACAACCACTGGACGTCCTTGTATGGAAGTGATCGGTCCAGGAGTAGTTTGTTCTTGCATTCAAGAAGTTGTTGTGGCGAAAGATATTCCGGTAGGTTGAAATTCCTTTTATAATCCTCAAATCAGGCCCCGGTTTATCTTTATTACGGTCTTGAGAATTTCTACCAAAACCATCGTCGATTCGCTAGATCGAAAAGTGACCAACAGCTTTTGGGAAGTAAAGTTTCTCCAAGTTCCCTCTCCAGTTGTACACCCTACGATACTTTCACGAACAACAGCGTGACCTATATGATTTTGCCTTGTGGTGCCATTGCAAACAGTATATTTAATGATACATTTGAAGTGACGTATCGGTCGTCTTCAACTGCAAATCCTATTCCTGTCAGCATGACCAACAAGGGAATCGCTTGGAAATCGGATATAACCAGAAAGTTCGGGATTTTGACTCCAGAAAGTTTGTCGTGCCTCTTCTTCATGACCTATCTTTATGCATATAGCGTTGGCAGATACGGTGAAGCCTCCGAATTGGCCCAAGCCGATTGAAGAACGCTCCCCCGGTGCCTTTAAGTCTGACGAAGAGCTCATGGTTTGGATGAGGGTTGCTGCTCTACCTAGTTTTCGGAAGCTACACAGACGTATTGTCCACGAGGGGCAGTTTCAAAATGGCTTACCAGCCGGCACGTATACGTTTCGCATATCCTATGGTACGTTGGGTTTCCCCGGCTTATTCGGGCTTGGTATGGAAAACGTCCCATTGTATTCTCCGCTGTACTCTCCACTAGTTTTATTACCTAATGTGTCGCCTATACGGCCTTAAAAACTCCCTCATGTACCATTAGTTGTCTAAAGTGTCCCAACCACGGCTAAAAGTGTCAGCCACTTAAAACATTTTCATGTCTGAGTTCCCAGATTGAAACTCAGAGTTGTAACTTGTCATCGTTAATTTTAGTGTTTACAGTGTCGAACGTGACATATTTTTATTTTCCCCCACCTAAGGCCCCAACTCGATTCTCGTGGTCGTGTATTGGTGCAATATTTTGTTCTGCGTCTGCAAGCCACTTGGCTTCCCTCTTAATCGCTTTCCTTGTGGGTTTTTGCAACTTCAGCGTTTCTACCGGTACCGTACTACCATCAAAACAAGGCAGGCTAAGCTTCTCGAAGTCCAGCTTTCAGGAGGAAAGTGGGAATTTATGTAAAGATTACGCTATTTGCCTTCGTTAATTTTCCTGCCCATAGTTGCCCTAGACATCACCTTGGCGCTCTAGTTTCATCCGTCTTTTGTAGGATTGCTTGAAACATATTGCGGACAGAGCGCAACCCTCGAAGTTTTTTCAAAAGATTATCCCTTAAAATATAAGGACCGCATCCTAGTGTACTTGAGTTTTTCCACAAAAACCTCAGAGTTGTAGTTTCACTTCTTACCAGACTTCTCATTTCTGGAAGAAGGAGTGCTTGTCATCATCCTTTTCCAAGGCCTTCCGTAGCCTTGACATTGCTTGTCCGCTTTGCGAGTGTTCTCATTGTCCGCTTTGACACTTGAGTTAACAGTAACAGGGACGCCTTAGGCGATTGGACGGAGGATTATTTGAATGTCCAATTCGCGTTGCTAATTCCTTCGACTTTTATCAACGGTGGGCTCCGATTGATCGTAGTATTCCAAGCGTTCATGCTGCTTGTCTTCAATCGACTGGACAGATTCTTTTCTACTGGTTTCATTAGTTTGCAACGTTGCTTGGATTGTTTCAAATTTCCTAGCTCTGCGAACATTCCGGATGATTGAGGATAAGACAAGACCAAGTCTAATCCTGCATACTTGCTCAAACTTCACGGCTGTTTAAAACTACTCGCAGGAATACTCGTGGTGTGCGCGTTCAGATTTCACACTCAGTCGGCTAATCAGGTCATTAACAAGCTGAAGAGAACTTTGACACGGAAATACAACCTTGGCGAGGTGCATTTGTTTGGTAACGAAGATCTACCAATGTATATACTGTGTCTGGGAAGTGCGAGCTGCAAGAAAGCTATCAGCCCTGACACTACACTGAGCTATGTTGTCATGTGATTCGAAGTTCTATGTACATTGCTTCTTGTCACTTCCCCAGGATTTTGTGGCGTTTTTGTGTTGCGTGCACATAATCTCTACTAGAACACTAGTGCATATTGACATGGGCTTTGAGAATTTTTGTACCACTAGTGTTGGCAATCAATATGATCAATGCACCTCTAGATCCATCTGCAGAATTGGCAAAATCTTGGTGGAAAGTACATTTGATTTGTTGTTCACCCTGACTCGAAAGCGGCCCATGATTGACTGTCAACCGTGCTTTATAGTTTGAGGAAAAATGACCACCTCATTTGATTTATAACAGAAAGTTACCCGGGATTTTTTTGTATCACAGCGATGAGACGAGTTTCTTTCAGTGGTCACTATCCCTATGGTAAAGTGACCTACTTGGGCCCTAAATTTGTTCGACTGTTAATCCCCTTAGGGATGGGGGTGTAAGCAAGAGAATATCTTGTCGAAAATTGGCTGATTATCCTAGTTACCAAATTTTTCCCCGTAGTAGACCATACCATGTGCCAGATAGACATAATAAGAATTTCAGAGCGTGCGATGAGTTCCATTCAATGAATGACACTTCCTCATTTCCATACTGATTGATAGTCACGTTTAGAAGTGAGCTATACCGCTTGAAGAAAAGGGCAGGTAGAGTCATGAGTTTCCATAATCACGTTCGTATCCCAAAGTACTCAAGTATAACGTTTTCATGGTATTTTTACAGATTTTCATAGGGCTCCACTCTCAAGCAAGCATTTTCAGACTATACGTCTGTCAACCGCATTGAAAGTGCCCTCGATATATAGGAAGACCGATTGGGTCGGTGTGTAGCATATACGGCGTAGTCTCCGAATTCATGAGTCAGGTGTGTAAGACACATGTCCCCGATCCGACCAAAAACTAGCTTCAAGAACAGTATGTCCACAAAATGGACAGTCCTCGTAGGATGATGACCGTTGACAATTCAGAAGTAACATTTGTCGAGCTTGTGATATGGTAGTTGCTGAACTTCGCCTCTTTTGTGAAGAAGCACAAAAGTGACGGTGTACCATTCAGTAGGTGTTTCAGAGGTCCTCCAACAAAATGGGGAGATGTATAATCTTTCATTAATGCATGCGAAGTGCCTTTCGGACCCAAAACCTATCTTCTCCGCGTTAGCCGCCTCCAGTGACCTCATGAGAGATGAGTGAATATGTGGACAGCCTAGAGTGTACTGGCTGTAAACTGATCACCTTCAACTAGCTATGTGTTTTTGTCTGACATGGTTTGCCGTACGTGTGGGGTGGTTCAGTAAGCTTTTAAGCTCTGGTTCCCTGATTAGTTGGAACAGTCTCCAGCTTCTGGCACAGATATAAGCTCATGCAAGCCCATATCGCCAGAGTTCTCATGGTCTTGCCACAGAGAGGCAGTTGGACGGCCACGGGCCTGCAATAGTGCGTTGCCGAGTGTCCACTAAATCGAAAGAGTTGGCGGATATGTGGTGATTGTTTCGTGTTTGGGGTGTATAATCAAACACGGAAGCGCTTGCAAATTTGGAGCGTCCCGGATATTCCATCCATTATTTACCGATTTGGTTGCGAGTGTAGGAATTCTCAGGTAACAAGTTCTTTTGTTCCATCCAGGCGGGCGACGTCAATCCTTCTGATATGGGGTTTAGGGACTCGACTTTTCGTGTACACTGGGGCTGCAACACGACCTGCAGTCCTGTGTGTACCCTCTCCACCGAAGCGAATCGCACTGCGGTCGATTTGGATGCGTTCGGAAGAAGTCTCGAAATGTGGTATCTGAAATGGGCAGCTCATTTGCACAAACATGAGGCAACTGTCCTTGACCGTCCCTTCACCGGATGCCCTACGAGTGATGCATAACTAGTGTGTCCTCATCAGTACTCATTGTACCAACTTCGGCACTTATATCGACAGTCAATAATACCGCTTTAGAACTATTGGCTTATCCTATCGAAGTACAAGATGAACGGACTTTCTAAATGTGATTGACGGGGAAAGATCATCAAGACAGTCTTGCAGTCTTCTTTCGGATGCGTTGAATGGGTCAATGTTAAGCGTATCCAGCCCCCTGCCATTCTTACTAACCGATCTGGTTGTGTTTACTGTCGGCCTATCCTTTCGTCCTTCTATACGAGACGTGATTTTTACGTCTTTCTTCGGTGGAATGAAGGTTCTACCAGCATTGGTGAGTAGTCAAAGAGTTAAATATGGCACCTACACCATTGGCGTATTCTTGTTTTGCTGTCATAGCTAGGGTAGATCAGCAAAAGTATGGCGAAGCAGAACGCCATCAATCTGACAATGAGCTAAGTTTTCAGAATCACTGAATGTTTACCAACAGATGAGAAAAGGCTATTTGAGAAGGGTAGGCGAGGGGACATTCTGGGAATGTTGTCGCGAAAAGTCAGCAGCTCGACGTAACTTTGTTGATAGTAAGAGTTTTGGAAATTTTCCGGTCATGAAATCCATCTATGTCGAAAAGCAGAAAAACTGTACAACTGTTTTATCCTCGCTGAAAATCATCAGCAGTGCGCACGTCACAAAGTTCCAGGGGGATTCAGTCGAGACCTCCGGCCTAGTAGTTGAATACTAAGCCAACCATAGGTAGCTAGTCAGCAGTGTGTTTCACTGACTACCCATTTTCCAGTCACGGAACTCGCATCTGGTTGCGTGTTGATTGGCTTCTGGAGTGACGGCTTCTCAGATGGAAGTTTCACCTGTTATATGAATTTTTCTTGGTTTGCTTCTGTTTTGTTGATAGTATGAGGAGATATGGGAATTTCCCAATCGAGATTTCGTCCTGAAAATTAGGTCAATTATGCGACTACATGATTGGAAAAAGCTCGACCTAAAGTTAGAAAGCAGTATGCAATATGAACACCATGGTTAAAATCAGTGATTGATTTTACGACTGGTTACGGAAAAGAGTTTTATCCCATATTACCTACCCCTTGCATGGTAGTCTTTCCAAACCCATTCCAAATCGTATGCAGTTGGCTGCCCAGCCGCCTAGTTTCTTAATATGTCCGCTCGTTTGTATACCATGAGACTGATATACATCAACCTAGGAGACGAGTTATTCGTTAACCGTGCAGTTCAAATGACTTTTCCCATGTACTACATTAATATGCATTCCGTGATTTCATTTGAAATTTCCGGGTTTCTCGAATTTCAGTCTGTGCGTCCGTAAGACTTCCGCTATTTCCCTGGATAATGATCCATCAAACTCCAACGAATTTCGAAAGAATCCTTCATATAATTGAACGTTTAACGTGTTTGAACGGGCTTGAAAGATGTACCAACTCTCAGGCTGAATTGTAATATAATCACTTTTCTGTGTGCAATAACTGTCCGTGTGACAGTGGGGTTTTGAATTTCCGGTGAATCTCGAACTCTACTTGTTTGGTCTCGAAGTGGCCCTGGCACCACATTGATATCTGTGGTAGGATCATATGGAAGCGTGAAAAGAATGTCTCGATTTCTAGAATTTCAACACTGGTGGTATTCTCTAGTGTTGTTTCTAATTTGAATTCTTATCTTTGATAGGATAGGTTTTATTTCAATCCATAGTTTTCCGAACGCCTTTGTCTTAGTACCACAACCTTTGTGCAGTTTCGTAAATCTGGGCGAATTTCATTTCACGAGACCGTTTTAATTACTTGATATTGTCAAGAGTTCGTATCGCAGGTAAGCGGAGCTGGTCTGAGGTATCGACAATTTTTGCTGCAAACTTGTTTGCATCGCCCTAGGTCATTTGGTGTGCGTTCTGTGGTTCATGTAAGCCGCGGAACTTTACGTTTTTATGTAAATCATAATTTAATTTGGAACGCATCTTGAATTTGACATTGAGTGGCCAGACTTCCACATGTGCTTTAGTAAGTTGCAATATGAAAGGGCTGTAAGTGTGTTTGTGAGCATCTTGAAGAATCAACAGCCTAAGTGACGAAGAGATCGTTCTGGACAACATCCCGACGTTTGCTGAAATGTATGTGGAAGAGAAAGCAAACAGCTTCATGTGTTCGTGAGATGTTTCACTATAGGATTTCGTGATTTTTTCATTTTGTAGTGGAATTCCACGGCTTTTTCGTAAGCAGTTTGGTGAGTCGTCTTGGAAATCGATCGACCTGGATACCCGTCCCACAGAACGTAATGTGTGTTACCTCCATATTAATTTTGTATCTTAGAGAAACTGAGCGTTCGCATGCTTTTCTCGCAGTTTTTGGGGAGTTTTTTTTTAAGGACATCTAAGCATTTAGTCCCCGCAATCCACTCGCGTCGAACAGTAAGAACATAATTTACGTAGTCCCAGCTCTTTGCACCTACTTTGAATGATCTTTTCGTGGTTGTTGTCGTGTATTGCCCTCATTAATGTAAACAGCTGATGAACGTAGCAACTAATTACCCCCGTCAATTTGCACAACTGATTAAAAGACCGAATGTCAAATATTATTTTAGTATCATGAGTCGTGCGTTTCACGTTTTCCGGCAATGGATACGAAGAACAACTGTGAGGATAAAGTGGATGAATCCGGTCCGATTGTTGCCGAAGTATTCACTGTCAGTGCGTTCGGATCTTGTCACTCTTCGCGAACTGCATTTGCGTGAAATGATTGAAACATGTTTGATAAAGTTTGAAACGGCTGAGTAGTGACGCGTTCCGTTTTTCCCAACTGTTTCTTGTAGTCAATTCTCCAATTAACATTCATCATCATCATCGACAGCATGACATCAGTGTTCAACACCGATGCTTCACTGCCGTACAACCATGATTTATTTGAAAGCCTTATTGTAAAGAAAAGAATAAAGACGGATGGGGGAGGGACTTAGTGCTAGCTCAACACAATCATTCCGAGGTGCCTACACCTCCACACATTCACTCAGGCAATCTGGATAGAAACTGACAACAAGAACGCCACTGACATCGGTTGGCAGCCATATATTGTAGTGTCTCCAACCAGGCACAGTGAGGATCACGCGGTCCCCATCCTGGAAGGTGAGTAGCACCGACAGCACCCAAGCGTTTCGTGATCTCCTTCATATTCCTCCG